GTTCATAACAACATTTTCTTACTCAATATCTTACCCTAACCCTATCCCTTTTATTTTAAAGGGGACCTATCATGCAAAATGCACTTTTGTACGTCTTGTATACATGAATATGTGTCCCCGGTGTTCCAGGGAACTCACCGAGTGTCAGAAAACACAACCCTCTCTATTTTCCTCCATACCCAGATCTCTTAAAAAGGGGCTGCAACGGATCTGATACAGACTGATCCAGATTTGAACACTTCTAGGACGTCACAGAAGTGGCGCTACGGCTATTGTTCCAACTCCACCAATCAGGAGGAGACAGCCACGGACATTGCCGTTCCAAAGAGCTGGAGACGCTGTAGTACATATGCCAGGCCTGTAGATGGTGCTGTTCTCACAGAATCAGCCCATGCAAAGACAGTGTTAAATTGAGCGAAATGAGGAATGGCTCAAATGCATGATCTGTTTGGTATTTTGAAAAATAAAAAGTACAAATATGCCTTATGGTTATTATCCATTATAACATTATCTTATTGGTCCTACACTATATTATTCAAATATAGCATGATAGGTCCACTTTAAGTTCTGATAATTGAAAGTGTTCACAAATAGATGATATTTATTCTGCTTATACTGTGTATTTGTGAGGATCATTCTCAACCATTCAGTTTGTAAGTGTGGAAGAGGATGATTTGAAATAGTATAAAGGTTAGAAAGGACAAACATTTCACTGGAGATATAACAATTAGGTGCTCAATCATTTAGTTGATTAAAAGAAAAACAATATGCTATACTTTATCAATAATCATATTTCTGAATGTAGCTTGTTTGTTCTGAAGATTGGCTGCTTTTATTTGTCCTATGTGATTTCAAACAAAATATTTCTAGGTGTTTTTACTGTTGTTTGGGGGACGCTGTGGCGCAGTGGTTTAGTGTGTTGGTGTTCGGATCAGGGGAGCACAGGTTCAAACCCCACTGCAGTCAGCATGTCGTTGTGTCCCTGGGACACTTCACCCCAAATTGCTCCTGTGGGGATTGTCCACAGTATTGAGTATGTTAGTCGCTTTGGATAAAAGTGTCTAACAAGTGACATGTATTGTTATTTGAACTAAACAGGCTTTAGCAAATTGGGATGGACATTTTCTAACTTTTTTTTACAGATTTTTTGAGGCAACCAGTGCCTTATTTACGTGACAGTGTTGAAAGGGGGAGACAATATGCAAAGAATGGATTGATGGGGAAAATTATCTTTAATGTCAGTTCTATGTGTCCCTGGGATTTGAAAATCCTTCCTACTAAGTGACATGATCTTCTCACAGGGAAAAACCCAGTAGTATTCTGCATTAAAAGTAATTTAAAATAACTGAAGAAGGCTTTCTGAGGAAAAAAGGGAAACGTCTTGAAATAAAACTCTGATCCAGTTCAGATTCAACTCTCTAAAGCTGCTCTCCTGACAGTTTTTAGCCTGCCTTTGTAATTGTTTCACCATCTGACTTCGTGTTTTCTCGCAGCACAACAGCTGTTTTGAATTTGCACAAAGATGATTTTGTCTGTAGCGTGCTGCTGCCCTTTAGCACCGACTCCTCATCAGAGCTGCATCTGTCGTGATGTGCCGGCCTCAGACTGTTCTGCTGAACAGATGATTGAGACGGGAATGATTTGTTCTTAGACAGCTTGTGAGCCAACATTTGATTCGCCATAAAACTGGGTCAGCGCTGGAGCTGGTCTCCATCAAAGGCAGTTAAATTCAGCTGTGCTTTAAGGCTGCGATGAAATGTCAATAGGAGGCACTTTGTACAGAACATCACAGGATCTACCATGATTCACATGGGTACAGCTCGTTCTTAACACAAGAAGGAATTCACAATCAATAATTATTCAGTGTGATAACATCAGAGACAACTGCTGGTTTACATTAAAGCCAGAATAAGGGTTTTAGATGACAGGTTAATGCAATGTACTTCTTTGAATATAAAGTTCCACATGACATTGTAAAGGCAGCAAGGAACACTTAGCTTTCAAAAATGTGTTAGGATGTGGTTTATAAAATGATAGATAATTATCATTTGGGTGTGAAAAGCCTGGATACAAATAAAAATGACTGTTCTATTAAGCGTTTTTGACACTTGTGTGCTAAAAGTGTGAATAATGGGACTCACCACAATCATCTCTGAGGGTTCCAGGACGATGCACTCACATCCACGTCGCAGGCTGCCTGCTGATCGCTTCCCAAAACTGAAGGGAAAAATAAATGAAAAAGATGATTAGAAAAACATGAATTAAGATGTCAATGTCAGTTAAGAGCGGAGCAGTTTAATATGACTTACACTCAGTCACTGTGTGTTTCTTCAGAGTTTGAATCTAAAGAGGCACAGACAGATCCTTTACCGTCTATAGGTGAGTCTCTGCATGACATTTTAAATGTGTAGCAGGGATTTCGGGATTAAATGTTGAACAGAGCCACATTGAATGGACAGTTCCTCCTTTCAGCGAGACCACTCCCACGTGAAGGGAAACACCCACCTCTGGAAAAGTCCACTCTCATGACGTAACAGTTTTTACAGTACAAATCTCTTCTAATGAAGGAGAGGGAAGCCGGGGAGTATTAAAAGCAGCGGATACCACAATGTCTCAAAGAAGGGCAGCAGCCATGGAAACTCTGAGCAAGAGGAGATCCAACGTGTGGGTTTGGTGAAGAACGCAGCCTTTGTCCAGCAGCCTTCTCTATGCACACACACAATGACTTCCTTGTTTGTTATATTAACCATCTTTGGTTCAGAATATGACCCACAATTCAGTGGTTTGCTGATCATTTTAAAAGATAAACTCAAGTGACTCAAATAGGAACAGACAGCTGTCAAGTTTTTTTTTTTTTTTTTTTAGAGTCAGCAGCAGCGAGTGAGACATTTATCTTTAAAATGAACATTGAGGCAAGTGGCCTGGAGGCTTAAACATTTTAATTTATTTAAAGTGTTTTACAGCATTATCACACATACAATGGAACAAGGAATGCAACAATAGCCTCTTCAATAACATTTTCATTTTCATCAAATAGCTTATCAAGTAATTGAGAAAATAACAAATTGATTAATTGTTAAACACATGTTGTTGGTTGAAGCCTTGGAAATGTGTTTCATCCACGTTATAATGAATTTATATTGAGTTTTATTTATCAATTATTTTGAGTCTTTGTAGTAGTAGCAACCTGCATGGAGGTTGTGAAGGTGGCAGCTCTCATCAATCACACCGACATGTTCAGACCTCAAGCGCAACGTGGTCTAAATACTGTGGAGGCCGGGCTTGTGGCTACATGTTGGGGGTTCAGCGTGGTCGGACTGGTATATTAACACCAGCCAACTGCAAAGAAATGCCGATACTCCACCTGCCACTTTGACAAAGAGCTACAATTATTATTGCGGACCCTTTTATTTTCTAAAAAGTGGTGTTTAGCTTGCTCTGCTTTTCTCTTTCTGCCTCCCTTCACAGTGAAGCCTTTGTTGGGTTGTTGGGTTTTTTCCTCTTTTGTCAGCCTTTCTGTTGTTTCTCTGCCAGGGCTGCAATTTTACTTGACTAATTTGTCAACTTTCCGATGCCTGTTAAACAACAGCTTGTCAGAAGAGTCCACACGATAATTGCTGCTGAGAAGCATAAACTATCAAAGACTATACTCAATGACAGGACAAAGAGAGCTCAGTGCATACGGGCAGTTATGAGGTTAATGCTGATGGCTGCTGTTTGCTTTGCCTGAGCTTCAGTTTAATGCTTTTTAACTCTGCTCTCATCCCCGGCATACACACAAGCCTGAATCCCACCACAGGGCCAAAACAGAGCTTCAGCATGCAGAGCTTACTCAGTATTTTCTCTCATAAGAAGACAAACGTTGTAATTCTTTTGCAACTGCGAAGATGATTTGTCAGCTGGGCAGCGGCTTCACAGGATGGAGAGCGTTTGATCTGCTTTCACAGACCTTTGGAGTCGGTACCAGCTTTGGATCCCGTTGAGCCTCCCTTGGCCCGCTCTGCTTTGGTGAAGCGAGGAGTGATGGCACCCCATTACACGTCACCAAACACGTTAGGCCACTAAATGCAAACACCAAAGTGACATGTTCAATCACGTCCCTCCATTACATTCCTGACATTAGTAATCCGACCCTCCATTTTGAAGGAGGTGAATGCCAGTGGCAACGTGAGATATTAAAGAAGGGATTATGGAAGTGGAGAGCGAGGGGGCGGGAGGCTTTTCTAACACAAACGTGTCTTGTTTGGAGATTAAAGACTCCACTGCTGAACAAATATCAAGTAGATCTGCTGTGTGGGTGAATTGGTATCAGACATTTCATATAAAAATAAACATTTGATTATTCTACTAAATGCTTGGTTGGATGGGGATCTTTTTTGAACTAAAGCAAATATTGAATTTTCATTAGCTCTACTTATGATGCCAAAGTGTGTGTGCACAATTTTCTCGCTATTTATAATTCAGCGCTTAGGAATTCTGGTTCACAAGTTTGATATGAAGTTTGTGTGTTTTTCCCCTGAGAACTAGAGTGTGTGCTGGCTGACATACTTACAAAACCAGATAAGCCAAAGATAGGAAATGTGCCAGATGGCTGAACAGGTATGTAACTCATTTATAACAGAGAACAGCACTGAGCAAACATTATCGCTATCACACTCTCTACACAAAAATGCTGTTTTATGTGCTGTTTTAACTGCGGGTTTTTGTATTTGAAAAACCTTTACGATACTTAACTTTGTTGTCACTTCAATCACAAATACAACAGACAACATAAGGTACATAAATACATAACGTTGTAGCATATCTTGAGAGTAAAACCCTAAAATCCCTCATCAAAGAAGAAACAAGCCACACATTTTAAATGAACTATGTTATATGATGTTCCAAATTACTTTTTGTACCGCAGCGAAAAGCCACTTTAAAGTCAAATTGGAGTTTCCTTAATTATCAGTGTCTGACTTTTAAATAACATTTAAAACATCCAAGTGATAATCATGACTGGGAAACATATTCAAATTGTGACTTTATGATATGAAACACAGAAAACTTTCCCATAATGGTGATGAAACTCTCCCTTTAAAGGGTGGTTTTGACCATAATGCAATGGGGTGGGTTAGCACCTGTTACTCAAATACAACAAGGCAACATGATCATTTTTTTTCTGTCTGCATTAGAAAAATATATTTGCAGGAATGTCTTCTTTGAGAGCCTGAATTGGTGTCGCAATTAACTTGACTTTCTATCAATTACACTTCCTTTGCAAGCACAGTATAATATGAAAATGTTATATCACAAGCGTCGTGACCTAAAGTCTTGGTTGGTTCACGACATCATCCCAATAATCCAAATATGCTTAAATCTCCTTAAATGGTAGCATGCCACGATCATTGTTGTTAGTGATAATCCCTTTTTACTGAAAAATAAACTTACACAAGTTAATCACAATTAAATCTTATATTGTCGTATCCCATTTCTATTTGCATAGATAATTTCATATAAGCTGTTTAACAAGTTAGTAGCCAGATAGTATAGTAAAGTGCTCTCTTGCAGTAATGTGTTATCAATATTGTAACGTATTAAACAATGAGATAGTGAGTAATGTGGACTTAATGGCTGAGTTGGTAAAGGCAAATAATAAAACCGTAATGATAAGGTAAATTACGTCAAGGTAGTTGTGTAAATACATTGGGATATTCGATGTTTCTCCATATTGCTGAGCCCTATCACTATCCTTTGTATATGTGCTGTATCAGTATCCGACAACGTGCATGAGTTGGTTTCAGACAGGCTGCCAGCATCTCATTTTAAAATGACACCCTGAAGCTCTGTCTCAGTGGACTGACTCACGTCTCCCCTGCCTCAGCGGCCTTGCATTCCCCTCCCGTTACACAACAAGGCCGGGGCGTCTGGAATGTCATTCCACATGCATCACCAGCCTTTCACTCTGCGAGCCCCGCAGCCCCCCGCCAAAGCCTCAGATCCACTTTGGACCAGTGCGTAAAAACCCTAATCTGCACCCCTGGTCTGAGCTGGAGGAGGAGGAGGGTGGCGGGAAGGAGGCTCCGTACTCTGTTAATCCGTTTAACTGAGTAAGTGGTGAGAGGGCACACAGGCTTTTTTAACCCACCAGATCCTTAAGAAGGACAAAGATTAAACTGTGGTTATGCAAGAGATTAGACCCGGCTCAGAGAGGGAGGGAAGCGGAGGTCATGGCAGAAGAGAGAGGATGTCTCAATGAAAACAGCGTCCAGGATTGAAGGGTTTACCAACATCCCCTCTGAGCTGCAGCTGACCATCCACCCACCTCAGAAACATAAACAGAATTCCTCGGAGTAACGGCGTGGCTGCTCATATCACACATTCACACCCTGAACTTCTGAAATAGAAGCTGACACCGATGCCAAGAATGTGCGAATGACTTCTGACTTTAGCTTCCCAAAATACAACTTCACTGGCATCTTACCGGCAAAGAGAGAAGGGCACGGAGGCAGAGTTTTAAAGAGAGAGTGACTAGGCTCAAAACTTTTCCAACACGTATCAATCAATCGGCTACACCTGCCTCTACAAAGCATTTCTCGTACATTCTCCCCACAGCAGGAGCTCTATTTTTGTTTTGTTTTCAAAGAGCACACACCCCTTTTATTGGCGGCACACGCTGCACACCGACAAGATCCAAAATAACATCAAAGTGGTGTTTCGCATTCCCGACGTGAAGCTTTTACTGCAACCAGCTCCCGTCTCGGAGACAGCTTTTTTTTTTAAATTACAGCCAAAAACGCAGGAGTTTCTCAGCACAGCTTTTAAAGAGCCAGATACAGGAGGAGTGAAGTCTGGACACTCACCCCAAACTCTCCAAACTGCTCCCGGAGTGACACCGCCAACAGATAAGATAAGATCCTTTCTTCCCAAATATCCCCCCGCTGTTAGTCCAGAGTGAGCATGGTCCAGATACTTTGCTGCGACTGTGGCATATCGTCCTGCGCACACCCGAGTGTTGCTGACTGAGAACGGGAGTGCGTGGCTCGGAAAGTGTGTGTGTGGATCAGCTTCAGCCCAAAGACTCTGCCCCCTTTCTCTCTCCCCTCTTGCTCTCTCTGTGCAATGTAGTGCTTTGACTACAGCACGCATTCCAGCGTACGACTCACTACTGAGATGTGTGTGTGTGTGTGTGTGTGTGTGTGTGTGTGTGTGTGTGTGTGTGTGTGTGTGTGTGTGTGTGTGTGTGTGTGTGTGTGTGTGTGTGTGTGTGTGTGTGTGTGTGTGTGTGTGTGTGTGTGTGTTTTGGAGGGGTTGAAAGCATAAGTCCTCCTTTCAAAGTGACTCATGACTTCTGAAAAAATAAATGAAGTTTGTCATTTTTTAATCAACTGAAATGTCTTTATAATAATGAGTCATTTTTTTGTAACTTCCTGTAAAGAAGACAAGACCAGCGTATCGTTCACTCAAAATAAAACTATCAGCATACTTTCCAATTAAAGTCACGCATGTCGAAGATAAAAAGATAATCTAAAAATAGTTCCCCTAGATCTCTTTCAGATTTGGAGGCCATGTAGCTACCTTGTTCTTACTCAGTTTAAAGGCAACTTCATACATTTTTAGATGATTGAACATAGTTTGTTTGTGGAAGCTCAAAACACAGCTCACAGGATGTAATGAGTAGGCAGCATCCAGGAAGAGGGATTAGGCTTTACATTTCTTAACTTAAATAAACATCACTATGGGAACTCTTCCCGAACGCTAATTGAAGAGTTGTTGATTGAACATAATTGTGTTTCACTTATGTTCAAACTTTCTATAAAAGCGGTGGGAAGCAAAACGGGCACAACAGACTTCTGACTTCTATTCTTTAATTAGCTCCAACAATCCTGGATCCTACAATTCCCACAATGCAACTTGATAGCTTCATTGAACAGCTCTGTCAAATACTTGAAATGCTTTCAAACTCATTGGCCCCAATTTATAAATTGCAGAATTTCTATAATAAAACAAAATAACCAAAGCTAAAATAACCATGACGACTCACAAACAAAACAGAAGACATTATTATTTGTACATGAGAAAAGCTCATAACAAAACTGACCTCTGACCTCTCTTTAAAGGAGCCTAGTTGTTTATAATTTGATGTCAGTACCATGCATTGTTTTTACAGAGTAAGCCAGGGAAATGTGTCAATGGCCTTATTACTCTGGTACCAGCACCCATGTGAGTCACTGTTGGCAACAACAAGCTATTATTAAATCTCAAAAGAGGTAAACAATTATCATGGCCTGCGTCACACAATCAGTTTTGAAACATGATTATAGACATATTTCATAACCTCTTCGTTTTTTCTGCCTGACAAGCAAAACAAAAACAACATTTGCAGTTATAGGAAGTTCTGCTTTTATCCATGTGAGGAGTAAAAATAACCTGAAATAAGTGAAAGTAATGTTATTTTATCCATTTAAGGATTGAAAATCAAGTCTGTTATCGTCTGTCAGCTTCCACAGAGCACAGTGTATGAGAAATACTGAAAAGAGAAGAGTGAGATCTGTGTGTGCGTGATTACAGAATAAATTATAGCTGGATCACTTTGTCATCTAGAGTCACAGATCAGTCTCTCTGGGCTGCTGCAGGCTGTCAACTCATGATTTGATGCTTTACTGACCTTTCTCCCAGCAGTTCACACAAACAAAAACGATGAGGGCGACATTCCTCGGCTAACTTGAACCCCGACTGCCGAGCTGATTCAGTTAAGAGTTGTGGTTCTGGGTAGCCAATATAAGGCGGGTTATCAGGAAACTGTTCGGAGAATGACCGGAGGTTCAGTCCTGACAGAAGCCAGCTGATAGTGATAATGAATGTAGGCACCAGCAGGGAGGAGGGAGGAGGGAGGAGGCAGGAGGGGAAGTTAAAAACTGACTGAGGTTAATAATCATTGTGGAAGTAACGAGTTCCACTCTGTGGGATGTTGAAACTGCAGCTACACATATTTCAACATGTTCATTACAGTGTAGTTAATAATGA